GTGAAGTACATTTCAGATTGACAGCGCTATGCAGTGTGTTCAGATTCTGAGGATCATGCCCAGTCCCTTCTTCAGGATGTGTGTTGTGAAGACCAAACTGACAATTGCTGCTGCTTCTTTTTTTCATTGCATTTTTGAAGCCAGTGGAATTGGAATTCCGAGTTCCTGACTGTTGCTGCCATAGAACGTTTAGGATAGCTGTAGAGCACTCAGAACTTCTTGCAGACTTAAGTTCTACCAGTGTTGCAGAAGCCTAGGAACATTGTTATCTGAATCTTTTAATTAAAATATTGAAAGAAAAGTGGAACATAAAGAGCTACTAACAACACAGATTTCTAGGAATTCTCCTATAAAAGCAGATAATATAACTTTATATATAATAAATATAAATTTTGATAATATTACACTGTTTGCAGTTCTATGATTGGTGGAGAAGACACTGTTATTGACATATCCTTCATAATAGTTTCCGGTCCAAAACATAAGTTGAACAAGATTCATCTATGGACTTGTTACATTAGGAACTACTGTTGAACACCTGAGCAAATTTCTGTTTATTGCAGACTGTACTGAGAGTCCATATTCACTTCTTTGTATGGGCATACAACAACTATATTGTTCAAGGATGATGATGGTCTTTGCTACAATACTTGAAAACTTCTCTTGGCCTGTGGAGGATGAAAATCTGGTTATTAGATCTTTAAGCAGTATAAATTATCATCATAATTGGCCAATATCCAGATAGGGGAAGTATGGTAGCTGAAAAGATAGGTTTTAAAATTCTGTAACAATTTTACTCTATTTGGCGTTAATTTAGCCATTAAGTTTCAGGAAGCCACTCAAAATAAAGCAGTTTTCACAGTGTATATTTTAGACTTAGTGGCTTGATTTTGATGTGTGTATGGGAACTGCTGAGTCACAGCCCGAAGCACTGATTGAGCATCTGGGGAAAGGACTGGCTCAGCCCTGGGAGCACAGGTGAAGGCAATTCAGCTGTGTGACCAGAAAGGGGTGGAGCCCGGCTGCACCTTTAGACCTCATTTAAGGGATGACTGTGCCTGTGGAAAGATCTCTGGTTGGAGATCTCTCTCTTGCGGAGTCTTTCTGGATCTTTGGAGATAGCTGAGCACCTTTACTTTTCCTTTTAGCTACCATTCTGTCTCTCCGTGGTGGTCTCTTTCTTGTTACGTTCCTGTACTGCTTTTCCACTGTATTAATCTTTCTGATCATAACAATGGATCATTCAGAATTCAATTCCTATTCTGGTCAGAACCTGAAGTAGAATATTTAGATTGTTCAGAACTGTTTAGAAGAGCCAGCCTATGCTAGATTCATAATCAAAGGTGAATCAAGTTTGTTTGTTTTGCTCATTTCCCTTTGAAGAATGCTGGTTTTTTTTTGACTTATTTTTTGACTGCACAGAAGAGATGAAATTAACATGAGAATTGCCATGTTTGGAAACCAGTTTGTTTGCTCATCCTATTGTTAAGAGTGGTAACTTAACAGCAATAGTAGTTCTCTTTTGTGAACTATAGCAAGAATCCTAATTTGGTCCTGATAATAGAATGAGCTGAGAGACGTTTTGATGACACTTCAAAGAAATCCTTTGACAAAGATCAGTTGCAGCAATTGGGCCTTTTTGGGTTATTTTACCTTTCCACTCATGTATCCTTGTTAGGCAGTAAGCCTGATTACGATGTGGGTTTTCCAGGCAAAGTTCTGTCTGTTTTCATGCAGCTGTGCTCTCTGCTACTTAATGTTGCATGGGGATAGCTGCTTGCTGCCATCTCCCTGGATTCTGAAGTTCATCACAGCTGGAAGTGGGTTTGTTATTTACCCAGTGCAGGGAATAACTATTACTTTCTGCTTCTCTAGAAGGTGCAGGCATTTTTGTTTTTTAGAAAATGTACCTGAATTTGCATGATGTTTACTGTGGCAAATACTGTTTTCAGCTTTGCCTAGATTAAAAAAATTGTTTGCTTTACCCTTTGAACTTGAGAATAGTAAGAAGCTATGGAAGTTTCTAAGTCTTCCTGCTAAGACAGAAGAAATTCCTTGTAACTGATTCTGTTCATTCTCACTCTTTTGATGTGGAGCTTGACCATAGTGATGAATGCAGGCACTGAAAGACACTATCCAGGTTGAATTTTAAAACCTTGTTTAACAACTTAGAGTTTTTGTTCACCTACAGATTTTATTCTTGTTAGAAAATTGCCACTGAAGTTTAATACTGTGGTAGAAGTAAATGGTAGGGATTTGCTGGGCACTCCAAGTATTGAAGGTATGAAGAAACAGTATAAATAGCCATGTGCCTTTCAACCTATAAGGAAAATAATTGACCAAATAAGACTTACAGTATGAGAAAATTTCTTTGCTAAATTACTTTTGCCTTTTCTTGTCTTATCTGACCTTTTTTCCAAAGGACAGCTTGTTCTTGAGAATAGTGCAGTACGTTCTTCAGTTAATCTTCTTTCATTTTGTTTGAGATTGGAGTGCTATTACCCCACCCCACAATGTTCCCTTATGCATCCTTACCATCATCCAGGAGCAACTACATGGGGTTCCTAACTTGTGAAGAGAAGGGGGCCTTCAGCACCGTGTAACATGGTTCTCACCATCTAATGATTGTAATGTATTGCGAGCAGAATTTGCTGCATCTGCTGAACACACGAGTATGAAGCCATGTCTTTTTTGTAATACAGCAGTGCAAGCTCAGCTTAGATGTTCTCTATATCTGGTAAGGGAGGCACACCAAATGGGACATGATGTTGTTGTGTAGTGTTGTCTGTTTGTCCTACAATCGTCTTGAAGCGGCAATGCTGTTACCTTTCCTCACTTCATCTTTGTCTAAGTGGTACTTCCCAGCAATCTTTCAAGAATTAGAAGCCTATAATTTTTAGTTGAGACTTGCAAGTGAGCATTTACCAAGACGAGAAGTTCAGTCTTCTTGCTGCTGTACTCAGCTGCCTCCCATCTTTCACTTTGGTCCTTGGCTACCCTAGCATTCCTGGAGGAGATCTGCAGGTTTTCCCTGAGTGTTGCTTTGTATTTTGGACTTGATGTGTTGAACTGCAAACAATGAATTTGACTAACTGCTACAGATACGTGGGGTCCCTTAATCAAAGTGGCACTGAACTGCAACTTAGGAGATTGTTTTTCTGTGGCTGCTGTTGCTAATTGCATGATTCAGAGGGATAAATTGTATTGAGTGATATGATCATGGCCATACAGACATATGGATGCCCTGTTCAGGTCTAGGTCTGCCTCTGGTGTTACCAGCCAATAGCAGCATTGCTGATGCCTTTTGTTTACACTCTGCAGAGTTTAAAAATAAAATAAAATAAAACAAAAATATATATGGTTAAGCAAATGATTCTATATTTAAAGAAAACAATTACCCACAAATTGCTGTCTATGGGTAATCATTCTAAAACTAATAACATTGAGGTTGCAAATAATAATTTGGCTAAAAAATATTAGCACACGGTATTTCTCAATTTTTGTATTATGGTAAAATAGGAAAACATCTAACCTCTCTCTTCTGTTACAGGAGTTCTGAAAGAAAGTTTCAAATTCCTTCTATGGAAGACTGCAAATTTGTATGCCAAGTATTGACATAGATATACGTATTTCTAAATCTGGATTTATATACCTCTGAAAATATGGGTGTATAATGGAAGGGCTGCCAGACCCTTTAGCTGTGGTGTCACTAACACATTGATGTAATTTGTTACCTCAGCTAAGGTGTTTTGCCTCAAGAGGTGGAATACATTTATGTATGGAAAGGTCACTTTTAATTAATAAGCTGTTTTCATCATTCAGGGCAATATGAATTGCTTGTAACATTTGTGTGAAATAGTTTTCAATATAAAAATAAAACAAATTGAGCTTTGTGTCACATTCATCATTGCCTATAACCCATTTAAATGTCAAAAAATCAGTTCAGACCAAAATTCTATTTCTAGAAGCCTCAGTAGCTGTATTTATCAGAGTGAAATAAGATATTATCATCCCATTATTCCGTCATGCACCTTCTGCACTTGAAGACATAAAGTTTACTTCTGGTTTTGCCTAACACAGAGTATAACTGTTCTATTGTTAAACGTTTTTGTCCAAACAGTAATTAATGAAGAAAATGAGCCAGTGTTGGAAGAATAAACAGCTAATTATATTATTGTGTATCTCTTTCATTAAAATGTATAATGCAATATACAAATACTAAATTATTTTCTTCTACATCTCTCAAATGGGAATAAAAAGTCACTGTTTTTGCATTCCTATTTGGAAACAAATTTTGTACACACTGTAATTTACTAGACAGTGTAATTTGACTGAGAGGACAAGGTTTTCAATATATGCACTAATGGTGCATTTGGACAAAAGCTGTGTGGTAGTGTAAAAAATGTGTCCTTGTATTTAATTTTGAAATAAAAACTGTATTTTTGACATTTTTCTTTGTTTAAGTTCACTTTCTGGGCCTTATTTGCTGAGAAAGCAAGGTCTGCACGATCACCTCTCCTTGAATATATTTCTCTTCTAAGGAATTTAAATTCACAAATGGGAGTGGGACCTAAATGTTCTCACAGATTCTAAGTTTACAGTAAGATGCATGAAAACGGGCAGCAGGATGGAGGAAAAAGGTGCCATTGATGTCCATGGGATATGCTGTGGTAGGTGTTCAGTTCTGGGCCGTCCATGCAAAGTATATGTATTGGAGAGTTCCAGTCAAACAAAGTAGATCCAGCTGAAGATTAAATTTCATTGCATAAGAGAGTGTTCAACTGCAGCACGTTAAAAAACAAAAAATCAGGCTGTGTGTTTTGTTGGAGAAGCTTTAATTTACAATGTTATTTTAACCAAATTCTTAAGTGAACTTTGAAAAGAAAGCTCATTGACTGATGGGAATTTCATATTATTTAGAGAAGCACATCCATCTATTAGCTTTTTAATTGTTTTTTTTTTTTCATGCTCATGCTTTATTTCTGCTTTTGCTGCAACAGGTAGTGACATAGGAGGCGATGAAATCATAGCAGGGAACGTGAACAAGTACACTGTTCTCCCAGCTGGTTATTCTGGACAGCCTAAAAAAGGACATCTTGTATTTGATGCCTGTTTTGAAAGCGGTAAGCATTTTCAGCATTTCTTTGTTACCAGACTGTCAGTGTAGTAACACATACATCACTCTTTGATAAAAAGCATCTTAAACTAAAGATTTGTATTGAACACTGTTTTACTCACTGATTTGCTTCAGAGATGACATAGTGCCCAGTAAGAGAGAATGTGAAGTCTTTTGCCTACAATACACATTTGAATGGGTCTTTCTTGTTAAACGTAGGTGCATAAATGGGTTTTCTTCTAGTGTTATATGCATCATTATACGTGCAGTATTTGTAGAAACAAATTGAAGATTCAGGATATTATAAATGTTATTACAGAAATTCTCAGGTTTGCTGTGGAGGTTAACCTGACAAAGTATCAAGCCCATCTTTATGTAGTTTTAAAAAAAAATTATAAATGTGTACTTGTTTTCTTCAAATATATTTCTTGTTTCAAACTGAAATAGATGCAGTTTCTGTAGTCCACTCTTTTATTGTTTTATTTTTATTGTGTTTCTTGTGGCTGAGTAATGTGTTGCTGAGGTTGTTCCAAGTTCTGCCTCTGATGTCAATGGGAGCAGATTTAGTTTTTAGGAAGCTATTACAAATTGAAAGAGAAACTATTTTTACAAAAGTTATAGTTAGTATACTGATTTAAATAATCTTTTTAATTATGTGTGTTTATGTGCGTGTGAAGGTATGTAGATAATATATGTATGAACATGCAGCTCAGCTTAAATCTTCATGTTGCATGTATGCTTGTCTAGATTTTTAGCTTACATCTATTGTTACTGGCTTACAGACCTGCAGAGTGCTGTTAAACACCATATGTACAAAAGGCATTTGGCAAGATAAACTATGGTTTCCAGCATGGTTTATGTGAGAGATGTTAGTAATGCCAAAACTGCTAGAGTGTCATGTAAAATGAGGTTTTTATGAAGAGTTAGATGCCTCAGGGTAGAATAGTAGCTGCCAGTTCCTGGATAAATATTAAACTGAGTTATTTAAATCCTCTGATTATTTTGTGTAAAAGGTGTAAATGACAGTTACTACTAAATAGTATCACTTCTTCTATCTCTGGAAGTTCTAACATTAACACATTTCTTAACTTATGAAATAGTATGCAAAATATTTTATCAATTTATGAATTTTTAAATCTGAAAACAGTTCATGAGGTTTGTTCATTAGCCAAGTAAGAAATTGAGCTTAATGTATGAAGCTGCTGTGCAGCGAAAAGAAGGATCAATTACAGCCATGAAATTGTATGTGAAGTAATGTGAAGAATGCTGTGGTGGTTAAATTGCAATTCTTGAACAGTAGAATTAACTGTATTTTTAAGATAAAGCTCTGATGTAGTTCAAAGGTAATGTTCTTAATTTGACAGTTATAGCATGTGCTAGAGGCAGATGCTGTATGAAATACTGTGTTTACACTGTAGGATGATGAGTCTCTGTTGCTTTGCATAGTCAGACACCTTCAAAATAGAAATACGAATAAAATTAATAACTTCGTTTATTTTTGCATGATGATGATGTATTAGCAAGAATACTAATAATGTGTTTATTTAACAATAAAGTGAATTTACAAATTATGTCAGCCAAATAATTGTTTACAGTAACTTAATGGGTCAAAACAAATTAACTGCTTACTGAATACTTGATCAAATCCTTATTAAGGCTACAGTCTATCCCCTAATATCAACCTAGGAGTAATATACGGCATTTCATAGCATCATAGAATATTCTGACTTGGAAGGGACTTACATGGATCATAGACTCCAACTCCTGGCTCCTTACAGGATCACACTGAGAACGTTGAACTCCTGCAGGCTGGAGTTTTTCCCTGGAAGTGGTCATGGTTCTGATAAAATTATGACAGGATGAAGCAAAACTGACTGACGTTGGTACCTAGAGAGTAACTTGATGATTTCCTTTCCAAATAAAAGCTATATTAAATGCAGTTCCACAAGTGGCTTTCCTATCCTTACATTCTGGGTTTCCTTGAAATATCTGGTTGATAGAACTGAAGGGTCCCTTCTGGATTTATTTTTCAGTGACTCTTTTATATTGCAGAAATGGAGGTATGTACCTTTTTAGAACAGAAAGATTACTAAACTTGTAGGAAACAGGGAAAATATTAACACATGTAAAAGAAATGTTAATTAATTATCTTTCATTTTTTTGTCGTGCCTGTCACTGTGTTAAGTAGTGTTGAGGTGTGTGAATTTGAGGCAGAGGTGTTTTCATGTAGTCTGAAAAGCAATGCCTATTTAGCTGTTTAGAAGGACCTTGTTTTTATAAAATCAAACTGAAATAGATGCAATTTCTTTAGTCCACTCTTTTATTGAAAAGCAAAATATACTACCTGTACTATTCCTGACAGATATTTGTCTTTCCTTCTTGCTGAGACTTCTAGTGAGGAATGTTTCAATAAGAAATCAGGAATCCACTCTGATAGTTCTGTTTGCTCATTATAAGAAACTTTTTCTTTCAATGAGAGATGTTCTCACCAAAAATGCATTAGTTCTTTTCCAGCGTGATAGGTACAAAAAGGAGATAATTCCTTTCTTTGGCTTAGTGGAAAGCTGTTATCTTCCCTTGACCTTTCACTCCTCAGGTTAAATAACTGCTATTTTTTCAATAGTTCCTCACTGGCCATATTTTCCAAATTTCCTATCTTTCTTTATTTCCTCTGGATTTCTTCCAGCTGTTCCACACCTTTCTTGACGTGCGGTGATCCTAGATGAACGCGATACTCAGATATGCTGATGTCAATACCTTGTAGACTTTATTGCATGATATGCCTTGCAATCTATTTACTTCTGTGACTCAGTCCAATCTTCTTCACAATAGCATGGCACTATTGACTTTATTAGATTTGTGATCCTTTGTACTCTCCAGAACCTTTTCAGATGAGCTAGCTAACTAGACTGTAGCTTGCACTTAACTTATTCTAGACGAATTTAATAGTAGTGAAAGAATATTTACTGTAAAATAAATAATTGAAAAGGATGAATAGAGGTTGAATCATTTATCTTATAAATAACAGATGGAGGAGTAAAGCAGAGAGAATATAATCCACTTGCAAATATCAAGGAATTTGACTTTGTGTTCCCATAGTTCGAGCTAATGTTCTAACAACTGGAATTTTCCTTGTTGTCTTTATTAATATTTAAGGATATGAGTCCAATAGAAACTTTTCACATTCACTTATTAGCATAAGAGAAGAAAATTTAGATTTCTTGTACTCATGTGTCACTATGTATTTTTTGAGTGCTGATTTTCCAAAGAAATATGAGTTAGCTTTGGGATGGAATAGGAACACAACTATCTCTACATAGAACTTTAAAAAGTTAATAAGTCTCATATTTGAAATGTATGAATTTGGGTCGTAATAGTTTCTTTTTGCTATTATTCATTAACACATTATCAAATTATCCTGCTGGAGTGCAGTGCTCTGCAAATGTTTCTCTTGTCCTCTGCTCTAGAAAAACTGAGAATTTTGCAAAATAAAATCCTTCTAGGAAAGGGCTGTGTTCACCCCTGCTGTACGAAGAAGTCCTTCCTAATTGTGTCAGGCCCAAACTTTGATGTTCTTTAGGGACTCTGGTACTGTAACATCTTCAGGGCAAATTGGTATTTCAGGCATTTTATTTTGTGAGGATCTAAATGACTTTTAAATTTAGTTTAGCTAGTTACCTGTACTATCTTGTATTGGCTTAGAACTTATTTCTGATGGCATTGGTTTAGTCAGTGGTCTCTTTAGTGGTTTGTTTTTATTTGCTCATTTTTGGAGATGATAAACTAGTATCCCCCAGTGATGAAAAAACTGCTTTTTTCTTCTGGGAACTTATGTAACAGCTTCACTTCCTTGTGCAGAAGATGATAATTCTTTATTAATTTTGTGACTCACATGAAACCTTTCAAATCTGTTTTGTGAAGTGAACAAAGAAAACATGAAGCAAATGTCTTGGTCTTTAAAAAGAATCTGGTATTTTTATGGTGCAGATGTCAGTTCAACCTTTTGTGATGAGTGCAAGTCTGATGTTCCCTCTCTACAAAAGGGAGGGTTTAGGCAATAATCCTGCAGCATGGGAACTTCAAGGGTTTGACCATAACTTTTGCAGGCTACAGAAATATTTTGTCAGGACTCAGATAGAAGGAAGGACCTGGAAGTGACATTATAACTTTCTTCTAAGCCCAAAGGCATGGCTAAACAAGCCACAGTATAATATTGTAAGGTATTAGAAATAATTCTGTAGCTCTGAAATGGACCACAAAATACGGAGAGATTGAAATCTGTGGATTTGAATTAATGTTTTCTTCTGAGAATGTTGGTGGCTTATTGGGTTCTTTGGGTGTTCAAGCAGACTTCCTTGCACAATCAGCTCTTAAATACGGAGAAACCACAAGTATGCTGGATTCTTGGAGTACTCTAGAGGGTGCCATCAGACAACATGGATGACTTGTTCTTTGAAATGCTGTCTGGAGACTGTTCTAGGAGGGTACAAAGCATGGCACATGCTGGCATGTATTCAAACTGTGTTTCTACAACCTTCAAAAAGCCTGCAAGAGGTGACATCCATTGAGCAATCATCTTGCTCACTGCACTGGTCATAGTGCTTTGATAGGACCAAATTTCCTCTGAGCTGAGAATACATGTGTACCAGAGAGGCTTGCAGACCACTTTTTTTTGTACTTGCAAAGGCTGTTTTTCAGGATATAGCTGTCTTTGCATCTTAGTCAGAGAGTGCTTTGAAGGCAGAATCAGAACGGATGTGTCTTTTTCCTTCCCCTGATTTTTGATGTAGAGAGCTGGCAAATGAAAACTGTTGACACTGCCAGCTATGTCTCCACTGAAGGTCAAAGCAAGGAGGATTAAAGTATTGTTCATTTTGTTTAGTATCATCTGGATTGTCAGTCTCCATAGGAGTGTTGGTTGGTCAGTCTGGCCTGTACACACTTCTGTATTAACCACAGCGCATTCTGCCTTGCCTGGAAGGGTGTCACGGGGTTAGAGTATAGAGT